TTTATAGCTAAATGGATGCACATTGAGGCCATACTCTAAAGTGAAATAAATAGGACACATGTGTAAATACCATATAGTTTCTGTGGTGTGAGAAACTAGAAGTGTCAATAAGGTTCAAATGGTATAAGTGATAATGTGAAATAGGAAGAAAAGATCTAAAGGAGTAGGGGAAGTGGGAAGGGTAGGGGAAAGGAAAGAAGGGAAAAGAAAAAAATATGAGAACAGGAAAAAAATGGAAACAAAGTCTTTGTAAATAGGGAAGGGTGGGGGGGTGAAGGGAGGGCAGGGAAATGGGGAAAAAATAAGAACCAAGATACTCATGTAAAGGTACAAGATCCCAACAATGAATGTAATTGTATTGTATACCTAAAATGTGCCAATAAACAATAAAAAAATGAAAAAAAGGAAGAAAAAGATACACTACCAATCTAGCTTTCTAGATACAGCCAAAAAAAAAAAAAAGAACAACTTTCATGTATGGACCAAAGCCTTATCTGCTACATGAAAAGAAGTCAAAGGCCACATAGTGCATAATCCGCATAATTTGAGAGACTTGAAATGTCTCTCAAAGTAGAATAATGTTTGTTCAAACTGTGGACATAAAAAAAAAATATTCTCTAAAAGGCATGAGGGACCATTTGGGCCATAGAATTATTCTAGAACTTGACAGTGATAATAGTTGTATAACCACACATGTTTATCAATCACTGCATCATACACGTGAAAAGAATTTATGCCTTGATACAATTATTAATGTAAAGACAAAAATATTTTAACATAAAAAGGCAGAAGTGGCTTGCCTACTGTCCATCCATACTACGAGAAATGATTAAAAATTTCTTACGACTGAAGGGAATGGTACCCAACAGAAACCACGATTAGAAGGATGCGATGAGAGCAGAATGAGTAAATTCATCAGCGAACAGAAAAGCATTTAAAGGAAAATACCAATAATGAACTGTGGAGTTTTCAGCACATGTATGCAGAAGTCAAATATATAACAGCAGGGGCACAGACACCAAGGGAGTGTGAATAGAATCCTACTGTTGCGATGGTCTTACTTTGTGAAGCAGTCTGTATCAGTTAAAGGTAGGCTGTGACAGGTCAAAGATACCTCCTCTTTCCTCTAGATCAAAGCAACCACCAAAAGATAACAAAAGAACTGGCTAAAAAGTCCATAGAAGAAATCAAACAGGATAGGAAAGCAAAACAAAGCAAGAAATAATTTAAAGAGAAGGCAGAAAAGGAGGAACAGGGATATAGATCAGGTGGAACAAACAGAAAACAAATGCCAAGATGATAGATTTAACCCAACCATACTGATAATTACTTTAAAGGCAAATGGGCTGTAGACATTTAATTAAAAGGAATTATCAGGGTGGGTACTATAACTCAGTGAGCGCTTGCTTTGGCATGCCCAGCACCACACACACACACACACACACACACACACACAAAACCACTAGATAAAAAGAGCTAAAGTCTTTCTTTCCATTTCCTCTTCTTCTCCTTGACTCCCAAATGTATATTGTGAATCTGAAGACTCAAGCTGGTTGAAAGTAAAAGACTAAACATACAAACATAAGAAACTAGGAGTGCTGGCACTAGAAAAAATAGGTTTTTAAAATGAAGAGAATTACCAGAGACAAGGACATAAAGGTAGATGCTTTATAAAGTCAAGAAAATATAACAATCCTAGATGTGAGTGCATAAGTAGCAAAATTTCAAAATCCATGAAGAGGAATTTGACAGAACTGAAGGGAAAATACCGATCTACAATCACAGTTGAGTATTTTAACGGCTCTGTCTCAGAAAATGATAGGGAAAAAACCAGCAAAGATAAAGGATTTGAATAACTCTACAAACCAACTTGACCTAATTGGTATTTATAGAACACTGTCCCCAACAATGACAGAACACACATTATTTTCATGTGCATGCACAGCACTCACTGTGATAGACTGCTGCTGGATAATAAAACAAAGCTGGATAAACCAAAAAGGAAATCAGGTCATTCACTGACTCCCAAAATATGACCCAGGAAACCCAGACACCTGAAGGAGGACCACAAGGTCAAAACTATTTTCAAACTATTGAGGCATTACTTGCCTTTTATGTCCTATGGTCATATTAGTGCAGAGTGGAGTTTTACAGAGGCCAAACACAATGGATCCTTGACTTACAAACTCAATTTGTTCGAGAGGGCTGATTGTAACTCAAGTTGGTCAATGGGAGGCTCAGGCTCCTCTACACAGCCTTCAAAGTCTTTCTCCTATATACAGGGAGATCTCAGTGTCCTTAGACAGATATTGGCCCAGGATGTCTCACTTAACCCCACACAGGAAAGGATGTTGTAATGTTCCTTCCAGAAGTCTTTAAGGATTAAATCTGTATCGGAGACCATGTGGAAGCACAAGTGGCTGGCATTTGGATCATAACTCAAGAGTTTGGTTGTAAATTAAAACTAAAATTCTGGTCATAACTCATGTTGTTCATATGTCAGGCCAGTCATAATTCAAGGGTCTACTGTAATGTGTGTTATCACCAAGACTGAATGAAAGAAAAAATGGGACAACCCTGTTGTTTTCAAATTAAGCCAGACATTAAAGAGGTTTGCAAAAATATAAACTCAAAGTCATTCCTTTCATTATTTTTTGTTTTGGAAAACATAGTTGTTTTTCCATAAAGATACTATTTATGGTAACAAATTCTTATTTTGTTAAGTATTTTTAAAACTTCAGTTTTAATTTCTAGTCTGATAAATATTAATAACTATAATCCACATAAACTGAAGCTCTTTGGGGTGTTTAATAATTATTAATTTTGTGAAGGTAGTGAGATCAGCATTTTGGTAACCACTGATACAAAGGATGGTCTTGATAATATAGAAATAAACTAGAAATCAGTAATAATACAATAACTAGAAATCTCAGGTATCTGAAATAAAACTATACTCAGAATTGTGAGTAACTCTTCAATTGAAGAAAGCTCACGGGGAATTTTAAGAAATATTTTAAACCAAATGAAAATGAAACTATGTATCAAAATTAATAAATACCTAGAGCAGCTCTGAAAGGAGTTGTACAGCTTTGGATGTTGCTATGGTTTAAAAGTGAAGCATCTTCCAAAGACTCATTTATTGAAGGCTTGATCTCTAAATGCACCAATGTTCCAAAGTGGAGGATGGAGGGGCGACTGGATCATGAAAGCAGTGACCTCATCAAAGGATTGATGAGTTCATTGGCTGAATAGGCTACTAGGAGGTGGGACCTCTCAGGAGGAAGTAAGTCACTGGAGGTGCCTTTAAAGAGTAGATCTGTCCCCAGCCTCCCTTCTTTCTTGTTCTTTTCCTTTCTTTCTGCTTCCTGTCTGCCATGAGGTGAGCAGCTTTCCTCCACCAGGCCTTTCTGCCATGAGCTTTCTTCCTTGGAGCCAGAGGACCATGGACTGAAACTTATGAAATCATGAGCCAAAATAAACCTTTACTCCTTTGAGTTGCTGATGTCAAGTATTTTATCACAGCAGTGAAAAGCCAACGCAGACGGCTGTGTCAATAAGGAGAGTATAAAGTAATCATACACCAACCTTATACAAATTCACTGAGAAACAGTGAAGAAACATAATGCTGATGCACAAATTTGATAAAGACGTTAAATATGCATAATTTTTCACTGGTAGAAGACATTTCAAACAAATCAATGGGAATATAGATAAATATTTATGTGCACAATTATAATAGTAAAAATGCTAATAGTATATATGCCCAAGCATTAAGGACTAGTTAAATAAGTGATGATAAGTCTTCAGGATGAAACACTACACATAAGCTACAAGTATGTTCTCAGAGAAATTAATGCAATGGGAAAAATGTACATTAAGCAAAATATGTATATAGTCAGTTCCTATTATATGTAACACACAAATATATAAAAAGCCTACAAAGATATGTATCAAAATATAGTAGTGCTAAACTCTGGATTTTGCTGTATTTCCCAAATTATCTGCAATGTAATTGTGTCACCTTAATAATGGTTTGGGGGCGAACCCAACTAGTTCTTTAAATAAACATTTGGAAACTATAACCATATAGTTCACATAAGGGTACTTCTTTGTAGACCCTTTGGAAAGAATCAGTCCTGTACCTGAATTTTATAAATGGAAGGTTGAGTTCCATGCTGGGCAGACACACTGGCATACACCAGGTCATCCACTGGGCTAGTGACAGAGCCAAATCTACCCTGGCATCCAGGATACACACGCCCTTTGCACTGGAGCACAGAGTGTGGCAAATGGCACTGCATCCACACATGAAACTCTTCACATTTAATCCCTGCTGTTAGTCCCCAAAGCCCAGAAGATTTATTCTAGTTTAAGCCATAAATTCAAATGTCTTTACAATTATACTTACAAGTATACTATTAAAAAAATCAGTAAAAAATGAAAAGGAAAATTATCTTCTATAT